TATCTAGGGAAGGGGCATAATTTGATTGATAATTTTACAAGAATAATCCAGACTCAGTGTACGGTATCAGTGGGTTAGGGTAAGAACTGAAGGTGGAAGGGGGAGACTTATTTCAGGGTCTAGCTGAGAGGCGGTGGTTTCTAGGATGAGGATTGTGGCGGTGGAGATGGAGAAAAGTAGACTGATTTCAGACAAAATGTGAAGGTAGCACCCACAGGACTTGCTGATGGTAATGGAGAAGTGGTCCAGAGACCAAGGGTTATACCGGGTTCTTGGCTCCAGCCACCGGTGGAGAGCGTGCCTCTTAACTTGGACGGGAGTCAAGACGAAGGCTGGGGAGGTAGAGGTGGGAGCTGTGTCTCCTGTCCCCAAACACATAGCCAACATTTTGAAAGGCACATGGCAAACTGCTTAACATTAAGTTGGTGACAACTCCATGTCAGGGGTATCTAGTTGAAAGAAGGATGGAAGGCACGACCGCCCTCAGAGGAGTGACGTGCACTCCTGTGGGTGATGCAGACCCTCAGGAGTTGGAGCAGGTGGCAGTGGTGGCACTCTGTGCCTCTCACTTCAGCACGTACCTGACTATTCTACCCCCCACTGAAGGGACATGGGCTCTGCCATTCCCCCCAACAAGCTTCCCATGTGGGCGTTTTGTTGTTATTTGCAGTTCAAATGCCGGAAATTGCCTATCAAGTATTCCAAGGACAGAACAAAACGTTCTGAGAATTTCTAAAAACATGATCCAGAAATATTGTTAAAAGTACAAGTCTACTTTGGAGCTCTGATTCTTTTAAAAAAGCAGAGAAGTGGTACACACTGTGAAGTGTTGTTAAGTGAATTAAGAAGTAGGTGAGATAGAAATGAAGATGTAATTTGTAATAGTTTCATTTTTAATAGTTTAAAGATATTTGAGCTGACTTCCTAACTGCTCATTCTTTAAGTTATTTTTACTATCAGTCACATATTCAAATCCAGTCTAGGCAAAGTTCAGTTAGTTAACACACTGCCAATAACAAGGTCCCTGCCTTTCTAGGTGATGATGACACCTCTGAGTGACTGTCACAGCTGCTCCCCACATGTGTTTTTACCAGAGGAAAGGATGAGTGGGAGTCCATGCTCTTGCCTCCTCACACTGCAATACTGAAGCCTACGTGAAGCTTCCTTGAAGACGACAGGCTAATGATTTCCTCCAATGAAAAATTTTCTTTATCTAAACTAACGGCATCCAAAATCACTTGAATTAAAAGCTGTGCTCAAATTGTGAATGTGTTTAACCCAGAGAAGGCAGACCAAGTAAGCTGCATTTTGAGGGACATGTGACCGTAAGTTCTTGCCCAGTTTCTGAGAGTGACCTTGAGAGGCAGCAAAAGTTATGAAGGGCAAGGTTTGCAGGGCCGCTGGGCAGCTTCTTCCCACTCTAAACGGCTCCGTGTTTCAGCGGGTCATGTCTGTGTGCCTGAAAAAACAAGATCTAGAAAATGTAAAGCAGGTAACTGCGGACTAAATCTTGGGTGAGAACTGAGCAAATGGTGGATGCCTAATTAGAAGGCGACAGTCAAAAGAAGGATTTCTTCCATTCTTTGTTTCTTCCTCTTTTAAAAAAATAGTAACTTGACTCTCAAAGCTGAAACCTGAAGCACAGCCCAGTTGGTCACTTTATGGACCAGCATGCAGATGCCACAGCAACCTAACGGACGGTAGAGATTAGAAAGGAGGGTGCAGGTTTTGAAGTTCAGAATGAATTTCCAAATAACATTAGCAGGACCTAAATGTTGCATCACTGAATTTTTAACACACGGGTGATGACTTATACTGGAATATTCTTTTTACCCTTCATATTTGATTTGTCAGACTCTTTAGAAGATGCCTCTTTAAGTAGACCAAGTCATGACTAAAATTCTTATTTGAATAAACATTTAATTTATCATAAATTTGGTTTAATATACATATTAATAATGTATTTTTTTAAGATTTAAGAATAGGAATCTTTCTCCCACTTATGATTTGTAGATCTGCTTCTGAATTAAAATTAACAAAAAAACAAGACGACAGATGTGTCCGTTGGAAAAGAACCTTTTACAGTCCTTGAGGAGTTGGTCGCTCTCCGGGAAATGCGAGTGCAGCAGACGCTCCCGCGGCCTGCTGGTCTCCACGCCCAGGGAGTTTGAGGGGAGTCCTTGGATTCGTGATGCTCTTTAAAACAGCAAACTTGAGCCTCATTATTGAGTCGATGAAGATTAGGGAAGACTGAGTCTTCCCCAGGGATTAGTTGCTACTTTAAAACCAGGCTGGACTGGAAAAGGAATTCTCCCAGGCACCAGCGAATTAATCCTGCCGTTTCCGCACTGAGATAAATGAACAACGAAACAATGCCAGCACACACTCTTCTTTCAAAGGATCCTCAGAAACCAAACAATCTAGAGAGCAAACGCCAAGATTTATAAGCAGCAGGAAGTACGCTGGGTCCTTCAAAAATAAAATAAATTCCCCTGTTTCTCTTGGCCATGTACTCCTATTCTTTTCAGACTCAAGCCAGATTGTTCGCATGTGAGAAATATTTCCTTGCGGATGCATCTCAGAAGATTCACACCCCAGCCTGCTCCTCGTGGGCTGCCTGGTGGGCAGGAATGTGCTAAGAGAATGGATATGAATATCTAAATTAGGCCAAAACAAATTTAACTGAGAGGAAAATCAAACTCATAATATGATGTTTAGTATTTTCAAAGCCCCAAATAAATAATGTTTAGAGTATCTACCCCTCATATTGTTATCATTAAATAATGAGATTAATAATATATGGGGCACAGATATTTAAATGAATTTCAAGTGGGAGAGAGGTACCATAAATCGGTCTTTGAGAGTTGAGTGAAGTCAGGAAGAAAACACGATTTCAGAAGTAATCCATGTGACAGCTTTGTGTCTCTTCACCAGATGTGTGACCCTAACCATAACCTAACATCCATTACCTTCTGTCAGTCAACGTAGGCTTCCTAGTCCTTGGAGATAGAAGTTCTTTTTATAAGAAGCTTTGTAATTCATTCGTGGTTGTCTGTTACGAATGGCACAGAAGGGATTCTCTTACTGAGTGAGTCCACCTCTAACATACTGTCATTCTGTCATTCTAAGAGGACCCGCAATTTGAAATTGCTCTATTGCCTCTCAAATTGGAGAAGACAACATGAGAAGAGCAAGTAGCATTTTCCTAAGCAACCCAATTGAGCAGGCACTGTGCCTGGGGTTTTTATTTGGCATTTCATTTAGTTCTCACAACTCTGTGATGTGGGGTTCTTATTATCTCCACTTTGCAGAAGAAGAAAGAGAATAAACACTTTTCTCACCGTCACACAGCCACTATTAGGTGGCTCCCAACTCTGACTTCAGAGTCCACCTAATTTGTGAGAAATATCCTTTACCCTCCATCTGTAATATGAAGATAATTGTAAAACAATCTTGCCTCTATAAAAAATAATAATGAAAAATCCTAAGTCTGGAGAGCTTGAGTTAATAGGTCTACTTTCACTGAACTTGGACAACTTATGGTAAGGATTATTTAAGCCAGATTATTTTCAAGGATGTAAATATTATAAAATAAAATTCAAATGTTAAAAATGCATATTAAAATTTTTAATTTTCTGTCTTAAAATTGTAAGTCAACAAGAAGCAAAAAGCACTTTCATAGTTTTATCTGCTTTGGGGCACTAAGAAGTGTGGTACAGTGTGTAGACTTGGATGCATGATGTGGTTAGTGACTAACCTGATAGAATTATTTTTAACACCAAGTACCTTTTTAATGTTTGCCTTAAAAATTGCAGAAAATTGATATGCAATGTGACTGCAACTTTTACCCATAAGGATTTTAGGCAATAATATCATTTCTAGTTTGTACAGAAGTATTAAATTATATCCTCTCTTTCTTTGTTGTTTTGTTTTTAATAAGTATACACGGCAATTTGCTGCTTATTTGTGAAGCACACAACTCATGTGCCATAACCGAGAATTTTCTTCCTTTGATGCCTTTGTGGTTACCAGTCTTAATATAAGTAATTTCAATCAACTTCAGTTTTAAAAGTATAATTTCTTGCCAAAGCTTACGAATAAAGACATTTGGTAGTTGTGTCTTGTGTCACATGTCCAAATTAAGTCTTTTTAGTAACTTTTTTCTTTGTAAATGTCACCTTTAAATTACCAAATCAATTACTTTTTAAATCGATGTCACCTAAACTCACATAAGAAAGTAAAGTTATTAGAACATAGCAGTGTTCTGAATCAGGTCGGGGGACAGGCTCCCATACAATGCTACTCGCTCTCCCCATACACCAAGGAGTGAAGTCTGACATGGTCCCTGATCCAACAGCTACTCCTGAAACCCTTCCCAACAGAAAACACAGCTAAAAATTAACATACATTTTACTCATTATTTTTACCTTTTTTTAATTCTTACACTTTTCCAAATGTATATATTTTTTTTCTCTTAAGTGTTTTAAAATAACTTGATCAAAGCATGCTGAGTTAACACAACTCCACTCTGAAGTGCACAGACCAGAAAGCTTCCCTTCAAGATAGAATTAATTTTTTTCTCCTAAAACTACCTGGTGTTACTTGTTCTCTAAATATTTTGCAATAACTAAGGTATCTAGACCAATGGACCATAATACTATGAATTGAAAAAGTTAACCATCTGAGATGATATTAGATAACAGTTTGGGACAGTGAAAAGAACACTGGGTCAAGTCCTGGCCCTTGGGGGCTGAATGTCTCACGGAGGGCAGCACTCACGTTCCCTGAACGTGTGTTCTCACGGCCAAGGTGTGGCTGAGAATGCCTGCCCATCAGGACTATACAAGGGGGCTGTGCAAAGTCACTGTTACCATTTAAGCCAAGCATGGTAAAGCATAAAGCGCTATGCATACTTAATTATTACTATTACACTTCCACAAGCTATTAAGTGTCCAGGCCCTCAGAAATCAAAGAAGGAAGATGCATGAAGTTTGATTTACCAATTCTTCATTTTCAAACTCCGGGTTACACTGTGCTGCTTCTTCTGTCACTGGTTTCTGAACAATGTTCCTACAGACGAGCCAGATGGTCAGACTAGCAATGAACATCCCGATATCAGGTACAAACACTCTGATCCCATTGCCAGCGTCGGCTCCCTTTAAGCTACAAGGGAAAAGAGAGGGGGAGGAAATTTAGTTGTTTTTATATTTTTGTGGTTAAACTGTCTTAAAGTATGTTTGAAGCTTCTTAATCATTTAAAATAAGGGATGCTCAGTTTCTGCCTGGATGGGTGCTAGAAAGCTTTGCATTGACCTCAGAGTCTTATGGAATCTACTAAGAATAAGGAAGGTTCCAGGGTTTCACTGGAGTTTCTGAAATATTATGAGGAATCCTAAACCAATTCTCACTCCTAAAACATGCTAATGAACTATATTGTTATTAAGTAAATCACATGTCCCACAGATACAGGCGTCTGCAAACTAGCTGAAGCAGTTAAAAACTAGACATGTACTAGCAGCTAGGAGATATTTTACCAGATGTAAATCAAAGCTGGAAGGGAAAAATAGAGACAATGTTAAAGTAATCCTTAAACCCAGGGCCTCCTCATTATTTTGAGTACTTGGTTGATTTTGTTTTCCCTACTGTTCAAGAAAGGTATATCTAGTATGTCTCTTCCTCTAATCTTGGAGAATTAACAGTGAACTTAGAAGTAGATTTGGGTTCAAGGGCAAGTATGACTGCCTCACTGCATTCCACTGGAGGAATTCTCCGAGTTAAGTGATCTTCCTCTGTGCCAAAGAGATAAGACTATTTGCCTTCTTTATCTCATTTGAGTCAAATGAAAGTGAGTCAATGTTTACCAGAGATAAAACTTGTTTAGGGATAGGAAGCAAAAGACAGGAATATATATCATGTAAAGATACATTTTTTTCATATATACTTTATGTGATTAAATACATACTGTAATCATTTATATTGTATGTATTATATATTTTGGTAAAAACATAAAAACATCATAAATAGCAAGACCCCCATCACCTAGAAATAATCATTGTTAACATTTTGGTAAATTTTAAAAAATTATTAATAATATCTACCACTTACTGAGCAATTGCTTTCTGCTAAGAGCTGGGCACATATTATTTAATCCAACCAACCCCATATAGAGTTAGGCATTATTATTTATCCTCCTTTTACATATGAAAAACTACGGCCTCAAAAGATAAACTTACTTCCCTAGAGTCACAGAGATAGAGTGAGAACAGAATTATACTCAAGCTCTTGTTAAGTCCAAATTTTATGCTCTCAACCACTGTGTTCTCACAGGTGTATCCACATGGCCTTCCCTTAGATCTTCCTTTTCTGCATAAATTGCATATTTAGAGTTAATAAAACTAAGCTCATTCTTTACCTATTGTTTTGAAACTGATTTGATCATTTAATATATCACTAACATTTCTACAACCCATTGATGATTTTTAAACATTACGATGCTCATGGTCAGACAGTCCACTACTACTGTACACTTAGAATATTTCCACTTATTTGTTACTATAATATACATAAAAGTTAAATCTTAATTAAGTAAAGAGTCTTCTAATCTAGGATCTTATAGGAAAAATTCCTCAGACCAGTCTAATTGGCTTTTTAAAACAATGGTCTGGAAGAGGCCATGCCCTGCATAAGCTTCACTTTTACACATGGCTCTAAAATTTTCTGAACAGAGAAACATGAAAGTGATGAGAGATCCCCTTACCTCCATAAATAAAACAAACATGGTTGTGTGAGAGGTTTCAAAAAATGGCAAATTTCTTTCATTTGGAGTGAGACTAAGAGCATTCAATCAAGAAAACTTCATACAAACTAAATTTATAATAATGAAATCTGATGATTGATTTTACCATAGGAAGAATGTAGAGATTTGTTGTACACTTTTTAAGTATGGCTAATGTGATCAAACAGCGCAACGAGAATTAACATTGTTAGAATGAGAAGGAAAGGGGGATCAAGGAGGGAGACCAGAAAACAACAGCCAGGCTTGGTGGGTGCTTCCTGTGTGGGGCTGAGGTCAGGAGAGCCAGCCGGTCCTCCTCGGGTGGATTTTGGGGAAAGGATTATTATAGCTCCTTCAGGAAAACAGATTGACTATGCATTTTATGAAAAACACCAAGCAAGCGGAGTTGAGGGAAAGAGTTCTTAAAGGAAGGGAGCCAGAGCTCCAGCTGTGGCCTCAGCTGCTTCTTGCACCACAACAGAGACTCAAGAAAGCAGAGCAGAGCCTTTCCCGCCTGTGGACTGCATTAAGTTCTCAATTTGCAAAGAGTCGCTTTGACGCAACAGTCTCGCCTTTGTGCTTCCTGGTTCCAAAAGAGACATTTCATAGCATACCTATATTAACGGAGTAAATGAATGCAGTTTGCAAAAGCAGTCACTCCACCCAATAGAATTCAGCTACTGGATCCAGCCTTGGGCTGCGATCCGATTTAGAATGGAATCCTTCAGCCACAGAGGTGCAAACCTATAACTACTACTCTTGGCTTGCTGAGTTAACAAAGCAGTGCATTCATAATACTGCCCTGGCAGAAACAATGAGACTTTGGAAGAATATAATGAAGAGTATGTTTGATGAACACATCATAGTCTAATTGATATGTCACTTAGGGACCATCTTATTGATGAAGCTTCGTTCTTCATTGTTTAGACCAGTGTCTACTAAAGGACATTAACCAGAATGCTAGTCTTCAGAAACGCCGTGAATTAAAACAAAACAAGACAAAACAAAAGAAAAAAAGTCTCTAGTCAAACAAGTGTTAGAAAACCACAATGCATATTACTGTTGTAAACGACTTGAGAAGTTCTATAGTAAAACAATAAATTTGAGTTTATTTAAAATTCTGTTTCCCAAATTTATTTGACCACAAGCCATTCTTAAACATTTTATTTAACATCTAATACATTCTGCTGAGCCAGAGCTCATGGTACAGTTTTAGGAAATGCTGTGTGGCTGCTCATTGGTCTAGATTGTTTTTTTTTTCCTGAGGAAGATTGGCCATGAGCTAACATCTGTTGCCAATCTTCCTCTTCTTCTTCTTTTTTCTCCCCAAAGCCCCAGCACATAGTTGTGTATCATGGTTGTAGAGTTGTAGCTCTTCTATGTGGGATGCCACCTCAGCATGGCTTGATGAGCAGTGAGTAGGTCCACTCCCAGGATCCGAACTGGCAAACCCCGGCCCGCCGAAGCAGAACGCACGAACTTAACTGCTATGCCACCAGGCTGGCCCCCGTCTAGATTTTTGGTGGAAATAAATGGATAATTCTGAAACTATACTAAAGTGTGGCTAATTCCTATAAATTTGGTTTTCAATAGGCCTCTAATAATTTTAGAAGTCAGTGACATCTCATTCTATTCCCTCATCCAATCACCCAACTATCCACTCATTCACTCAGTAAGTCATTGCAATTATGGAGATGGAAGAGAACTAGAAATAATCTAATCTACCTCCTCATCTTACAAACCAACCAGGGGAAAAGCTAAAGGGATGGCTCAACTGCACAGTTAGGGACAGAGCACCTTCTGCTCAGAGCTGTCTTCTGAGTACAGCCAACACTCACTGCACCTGTCCCCACCTCACCCATCTTCTACCTACTGCAACAGGTTTCCTTGCCCACACTGCTCAGAAAATGCCCTGTTAGGGGTCACCAGTTATCTCCTAAAAGTAGGGACTCATTCTAATTCTCATCATACTCCACCTTTGTGCTGCATGTAACAAACAAGATCAACCCCTTCTGCTCTCAAATCTACCCTCCTTGGTTTTCTTACCTCTCTCTTCCAGTTCTTTTCCTACCTAAGAGTATCCCTGAAAATTCACATTGCTGGGAAATCCCCCTAAGAAATACTGGGCTGGATTGTACCTACCAGACTCTTCTCCACCTCCTCCATGATGAGTCTGCAAGGTTCTGCTCTTCACTTATTTTTCTTCTAACTCTACATGGTAAACCTGAATGATATATCCATCTCCAAGACTCCAATCAGCACCTATCTGATGACTTACAAATCTACATATCCAGTGCAAGTGTGTGCCCCGAGACACAGTAGTAGATATGTGTCTGCTACTGGATTTTCCTACTAGATATCTTCACTTCAGTATTTCATAGCTTTTCAAAACTAAATGTTGCCTTTATTCCAAAATGTGCTCTTCATCCTATATTCCTAACCTTGAAAAATGATGTTGTCATCAATCTAGCAATCGAGACAGAATCTTGACTCTGCCACTCTTTAACTGAACAACTATGGAGATTTTGTCTCCACAACATTTCTCTTACCTGTGCTCCTCTTTATCTCCAGGGCTCAGTTCTGGATCCTGGATTACTGAAATAGCATCTTTATTATTTTGACTCAGGTTGTCCCTTCTGCCAATTAGGCCTCCCCATTATTGCCAGCGTTTAATTTTTAGAAGCATAAGCTTGAGCATGTTAAGTGCACGGCCTCCAGGCAAGGTCCATGTTCCTGAGCATAGCATAGGAGGCCCTCTGTGTTCCAGGACCTGTTTGCCTTATTTCTGGCTGTGATTTCAACATACCTCAAATTCCAGCCACCCTAAATGCATATACCCAGAATACGCAAGTGTTTTTCCCTCTGAGCTAGTCTTCTCCCTTGGCCAATGATGCCCTTCTCCCACAACACTTTTATATTCTCCTCATCTCTCAAGACTCACCTCCCACATCTCCACTCTGAAGCTCTTCCGCCATCCTTCTTGTAATAGAATTGACCATTTCCTCCTTTAGATGTCTGCCATACCTTGCACATATTCAATCAAAAAATGTTGAACACTTTATGTCACTCACTTATTTACGAATCTGCCTGACAGAGCCTCCTGTCTATTTCCTCTCTGTATCCATGAGGTCTATATATGTATGTATATATGTATACTATATTTGTGTGTTTGTGTGTGTGTGTATATATATATCTGTAGTACAGAGTGCACTCTGAGTAAAGGCTGGTGGAATGAATGCTATCTCCAAATATTTACTCTTTGCTTCTTATGACAGTAGCTTGTGTAAAGTACTGTCGAAGAATTAGACAAGATGTCTGCCACAAAGGGCCCTGTAATTTAGTTCAGGGAAGATCAAATACAAACACAAATGGGAGGACACATTACTGT